ATGTGTATGCATACTCAAAATACCAAGAGGAGATGGGAGGAGAAGGAACTGTAGTGTGTCCCTCTCCCTGGGAGACAATTTCTTACTTCCCTCTCTCTCACTCTCTTTCTCTGGTAAGCGCACATGCCGTGTAGAAAAAAATAAAAAGAGTGGACACCTAATCTTTGACAAAGGTGCCAAGAATGCATGATGAGAAAAGGATATTCTCTTCAACATACAGTATTGGGGGAAAAAATAGAATACTTATATTATGCCACATACAAAAACCAACTCAAAATGTTTAAAGGGTTAACTGTAAGATGTAAAAGCATAAAACTTCTGAAAGAGAACAGGGGAAAAGCTCCTTGACATTGGTCTTGGCAATAATTTTTCATATACGACACCAAAAACAGGGAAAAAGAAAGTAAAAATAAACAAGTAGGACTACATCAAACTCCAAAGCTTCTGTTCAGCAAAGGAAATTTTAAAAAAAGAAAAAGAAAACATATGGAATGGGAGTGAATATTTCCAAATCATATATTTGATAAGGGATTAATACCTAAAATATATTTTTTAAATTCACACAACAAATAATATAGCCAACATGTATATGAAAATGTATTCAATGTAACAATATTCAGAGAAACATAAATCAAAATCAAAATGAAATATCATTTCATACCTGTTAGGATGGTTATTATCAAAAAGACAAAAGGCAAAAATATGGGAAAAAGGAACAGTTGTACACTGTTAGGAAAGTAAACTAGAATGTCTATTATGAAAAACAATATAGAGGTTCCCCCCCAAATTAAAAATAAAACTATTATATAATCCAACACTCTCACTTCTGGGTATATATCCAAAAGAAATAAAATCAGTATCTTCAAGAGACAGTCACTCCATTCATAATAGCTAATATATGGAAACAACCTAAGTGTGCACCAATATATGAATGGATAGGGACTAGCAGTTAGCATAATGGCTATGTCGCTGGACTCCCATGTAGTCGACTGCAGTTCGAGTCCTGGACCCGGTGGCTTAAAACTCACGCCAGGAGCATGTGCATGCATGCCCAAGATCCCGAGAGGAGACTGGAGGAGAAGGGATTATGACGTGGCCATCCCTCCGGGGTGTGATTTCTCACTTTCTGTCTCTCTGTCTCTCTCTGTCTTTCTGGTGAGTGCACTCACCCTGTAACAAAAACCTCTCCTATACATATATATAATTTATATGGATAAAGAAAATGTGTGTGTGTGTGATGAAATACTATTCAACCATATAAAAGAAGGAAATCCTGCCATTTGTGACAACATGGATGAATTTAGAGACGTTATGCTTAGTGAAATAAGCTAGATACAGAAAGATAAATCCTATCTCATATGCAAAATCTAAAAAAGTCAAACTTATAGTAACAGAAGGTAGAATGGTGGTTGCCGTGGTTGAGGAGGTAGGAGAAATATCAGGTAGTGGGAAAAGTCATGACTCATTTTTGCATAGAAAATACATCATGACATTTCTGATGACCCAATAGATGTTAGTCCAAGGGTATGAAACTTTAGTTACCAGATATGTAAGTTCTGGGGGTCTAATGTACAACATGATGAATATAATTATTAATTCTGTACCATTTACTTGAAATTTGAGAAGAGAGCAGATTGTAAGTGTCCTCACTATGCAGGCACAGCCGCAATTGGTAACTACGGGTGATAATGAGTGTATCGATGCATTTTATTGTGGTCGTCATTACGTAATATACGTATATCCAGTCACTGTATTGTATACCTTGAATATACATACTTTTCACTTGTCAATTAAATATTTTAAAGTAAAAACAAAACTCTAAAACCTTGTAAAGAACATAAAAGGTGACCTAGATAAATGGGTAGTTTATACTCCTTGTAAAAACCTCAGTTCTATTTAAATTAACTCTATATTCAATGTTTTTTCTATCACAGTTTCAATAGAATTGGGGAAGTTTTAGGAAAAATATTTTTTCTTTATAAAAGAAAATAAAATGAGTGGGAATAACAAAATTTATTTTAAAGCTTTAAATCAACGTGGAACAGATCTGTGTATATCAGGAATGGACGTAAAGTAGCATTTCAGATCATAAAGAAAAAAGTGTCAGGCAGGGTTGTAATCACCGCCTCATGTCATACACGAAGAGGTTGAATCCCATGGGGATCAGACATTTTAAAATTTTAAAGTGTGAAGTATTTCAAATATTCTGGAGTTAAATAAAAATATTTTTTAAATTTTGGGTGAAAAATATCTTCATAAATTTTATATAAAACCTGGAAGCCATGAAGGAAAATTCTGACAGATTTGACTACATAAAAATTTCAAACTTCTCTAGGGTAAAAGCTGCTATAAACAAACTTAAAAGAATAACATCAAATGAGACAAAATATAACAACATATATATACGAGGCAAAGTCTCGCATATAAAATATATAATATTTCTGTGATTGGTCAGCATTAAAAAAAGACAATCAACATAACAGAAAACACTGGCAAAGCATATTTTCTGGACATTTGTAAAGTAGAAGAAAAAAATATTGGCCAACATCAAATAAAAAATGTTCAACCATACCACAAATGAAAAAATGTTCAACCATAACACAAATGGAAAAATGTTCAACCATAATACAAATTAAAACAGCAATGAAATAAAATGTTTTACAATTAAGTTGGAAAAATATTAAAAGCTTATAATATCTAGCATGTGATATTTAACTTAAAGTAAGAAAAATGAAATTTATTTAGCTATATGATATAATTCTAATTATGTTAATACAAGCAAGGAAAAAAATCTAAAACTATATACACCAAAGAAAGCTGCTATAAACAAACTTAAAAGAATAACATCAAATGAGACAAAATATAACAACATATATATACGAGGCAAAGTCTCGCATATAAAATATATAATATTTCTGTGATTGGTCAGCATTAAAAAAAGACAATCAACATAACAGAAAACACTGGCAAAGCATATTTTCTGGACATTTGTAAAGTAGAAGAAAAAAATATTGGCCAACATCAAATAAAAAATGTTCAACCATACCACAAATGAAAAAATGTTCAACCATAACACAAATGGAAAAATGTTCAACCATAATACAAATTAAAACAGCAATGAAATAAAATGTTTTACAATTAAGTTGGAAAAATATTAAAAGCTTATAATATCTAGCATGTGATATTTAACTTAAAGTAAGAAAAATGAAATTTATCTAGCTATATGATATAATTCTAATTATGTTAATACAAGCAAGGAAAAAAATCTAAAACTATATACACCAAAGTGTACAAAGAAAGTGAACAAAGAACATATATATGTATATGTGTGTATGTATATATATATATATATATATATTTTTTTTTTTTTTTTTTTTTTTTGGGGGGGTTTTTTTTCAGGGGGTTCAGTCGCACAAACACCCAGCGTGAGTTTAAGCCACCGGGTCTGGGACTCGAACTGCAGTCAGCTACGTGGGAGTCTAGCGACATAGCCATTACACCAACTGCTGGTCCCAATATATTTTAAAATCAGAAAAAGAACCATAAGGATGTGAACAATTTGAAAATAATACAATTATTATTTTATTTTTATTTTTTAGAGAATTATTTATTTAATTTTATTTCTTCTTATTAGTAGTTTTAATTCACTATAGGGTATGTGTGCTCACAAGAGAGAAAAAGACAAAAAGAAAAAGTAAGAAGAAAAATAAAAATGTAAGAGAAAAAGCAAGGAAAAGTAAGAAAGCAAGCACCAAGTATAGGATTCAAACCCTAGTCATGAGGGAGTCCAGTACTTCAACCCCCACACCACCTGCTGGCCCACAATTATTCCATCACTGAAAAACTCATGAGATGTTTTCAAAAAAGTCATGACTTTTCTGACGACCCAACATTATTTTAAAAGATCTAATATAACTATTTACAGTAAACTATTCTCTCTTGCTCTTTTTTTTTTTTTTGTATTATGAAGGGTTATTATCTCTCTACTGCTGCTGTAATCAATTATCTAAGTTTAGAGGCTTAAAATAACATGAATCTATTATCTTACAGTACTGTAGGTCAGAAATCTGACACGAGTATTGCAGGACTAAAGTCAAAGTGTTCACAGACATGGCTTTGTTCCTTTCTGGAGGCTGTATGAGAGTCAGCTTCTAAAGGCTGCTCACATGATTTGGTTCATGGACTCTTGCTTTCATCTTCAGAACCAAGTATCTCTGATCTTCCAGAGAAGAAAGACTCTCCTGAGTATAAGAACCCACGTGACTTAACTGGGACCACCAAACTAATCCTAGACATACTTGAGCTTCCTCTACCCTATTCTTCACACTTCCATCTGAGTCCTCATTCAGAATCTTTAGCATTCACATTTCTACCAACAGCCTGTTCAAGAAATATAGGCCTTTTCTATCACGCTATTTGTAATTCTTTCAGCCTTCTCTCATTGTCCTATTCCAAACCCCCTTTTACATTTTTAGAAATGTGTTATAGTCTCACCCTACTTCAATGTACCAAGATCTGTATTCCTTTCAATTGCTACCATAACAAATGACCACAAAGTTAGTGGTTTAAAATGACATAGATGTATCATCTCCCACTTATGTCAATTAGAAGTTTAATACACTCTCCCTGGGATGGCAGTAGGCCTACAATTCTCTCTAGACGCTGCAGGGGAGAATTTATTTCCTTGCCTTCTCCATCTTTTAGAGGTTAGTCACATTCCTTGGTCCCTTCTTCCCTGTTCAAAGCCAATAACACTGCATCTTTCTGGCCATTCTTCCATATTATATCTTTCTTCCACCACTTTTTAAAGCCCGCAAGATTAGATGGGACCCATCTAGATAGTCCAGAGTAACTTCCCCATCCCAGGATCTCTAGCTTAATATTATCTGTACAAATCCCTTTGCCACGTAAGATAAAAGATTGTAAGTTCCAAAGATTATCATATGGACATCTTTGGGAGGCCATTGTTCTGTCTACCACAGTGAAGTAAATAAAAATAATTAAGTTCTGGCATGTAAAAACTTATCTGTAATACAAAAAACAAGTAAATTCATATTATTCTTACTTCTGCTCTTGTGTTTTCCAGAAGTACAGTTGTTTCTATTATCCACATTATCTAGAAAATAACAAGTGATAGTGGGAAAACGGAAGTTAATACATACAAGTTACAAACCTTAGGATAATTTTTCTGAAGTCTTGAGTATATGAAGATGTTTGGATTATCAATCCTCTCTTCCCTCTAAAGAAAAATCCACTGAACTGAGAGCTAGGAGTTGAAAATGGGTCCTTGGTCTTTATTTTTCTTCTCAATGGGACTTTGAAAAACACTCTTCAATATCTATGTACTTTGGGACCAGCAGTTGGTGGAATCGCTGAAGAGGTTTTCCTTTTCCCACTGGATTTACTGGTACCCTTTGTCAAAAATCAGTTGGCTGTATGCTTTGGAATTTCTTTCTGGGGTCTCTATTCAGTTCCATTGGTCCACATGTTTGTTTTTGTGCCAATATCATGCTGTTTTGATTATCACAGCTTTATAGTATATTTTGGGGTCAGAGAGTGAGACGCTGTCCACTCCACTATTCTTGCTCAGAATTGCTTTGGCAATATAAGGTCTTTTTTATGATTCCAGACAAATTCTGTTTGTCTTTTCTAGATCTGTGAAGAGTATCTCTGGTACTTTGATTGGGATTGAATTATGTATGTAGATTAATTTGGGTAGAATTGCCATTTTGATTATATTAAATTTTTAGCTTCTCATAGTTTTCCTTGTGGAGGTCATTGACTTCTTTGCTTAGATTTATTTCTAGGTACCTTATACATTTTGTAGTTATGGGGAATGGAATTACTTTCTTCAGTTCTATCTCGGTCTGCTTGCTGTTTGTATGTAGAAATAATATAGGTTTCTGTATGTTGATTTTGTGTCCTGCAACTTTACTGTATTCATTTATTACTTCCAGGATTTTTTTCATGGATATCATTGGGACTTCTATGTATACAATCTTGTCATCTGCAAATAATTTCACCTCTTCTTTTCCTATTTGAATGGCTTTTATTTTATCCTCTTTTCTGATTGCATTGGCAAGGACTTCCAGGACTATATTGAAAAGGAGTGGAGAAAGTGGGCATCCTTGTCTTGTACCAGTTTTTAACAGAAAAGCTTTCAGCTTTTCCCCATTCAGGAAGATGTTAGCAAAAAATCTTTTCAAAATAGATTTTTGTTAGAATTTAAATAAAATTGATGTACAAAATTTTATAGGCAATCACTCTATAAATCAGTGATATGCTGGGGGACTTTCATTATAAATATGTACTGAATTAAGAATAGTTTATCTTACGACTTTCCTCCTGACAATTAAGTAGCAGGACCAATTCTTTTCAATAAGGTCTTTCTAAGGTTAAGACTAAATTATCTTATTATCTACCAGCATAAATTCACTTGGCTTTCTGAAGTTCTGTGGAAAATTGGGTTTGACTTCATGTACTAATACAGTAAGTAAGCAAGCTAACCACCAGTTTAAAGAGTATATTTCTACCACATCATACATATATAATCAATAGACCCCATTTTGTAAATATGAGTTTATAATGGCATCTTGCCTCCCTGCAGTTGGCTTAAGGCTCAGGATAAGCAAATACAGTGCATGAGGTTCTGGAATGGACTGGGCCACCTACCACTGCTCTACCTGAGATCAGTGGTTCCAACTGGGCAATTCCCATCCCATGACAGGCAGCCTTACCTTTAGTGTTACATGTGTGGCTGTTTTTCCTCCTTGCTTCTGAGTCTTCTGGAACGTATTTTGTGAAACACATGACACAATAACACCTCTCATTTTCATATGCTGGTTGCTCTGTTTCTCGGACAAAATTATAATTTATGAAAACTTTTAATTTGTGGGCCTAGCAGTTAGCGTAATGGCTATGTCACTGAACTCCCTTGTAGTCGACTGTGGTTGTAGTCCTGGACCTGGTGGCTTAAACTCATGCCAGTTGCGCGTGCGTGCATGCCCAAGATCCCGAGAGGAGAATGGAGGAGAAGGGATTGCGGCGTGGCCAATCCCCCTGGGCGGTGTGATTTCTCACTTTCTGTCTCTCTGTCTCTCTCTGTCTGTCTGGCGAGCACATGCACCCTATAGCAAAAACCTCTCCACAAAAAACCCATAACTTTTGTTTTAGTGACCCTCTTTCCTGGACTCTCATTGATCTCTCTGTTCTACTTCTTCCTCTGAAATCTTTTTTTTATTTGCTTCTTCCCTTATTTGACTCTTCTTCGCGGTATCCCCTTTCAGTCCTCTCCTGTCTGTTTCTCTTTATCAGAACTCTGTTTCTGCTTTCACTGTTTTTTAATTCATCATTACCTTGTCGATCATGGAGCAGTAGGCTAGAGGCAAGCTCTTCCAGTTCTTCTTCATTCATTTGGTGACCTTCTAGTTGGCTGGATACTAATGAGAAACAAGAAATTTACTGTCCATAGATTCCAAGGCAGTGACCAGAATAGAATGTCTGTTGCTTTCATGCTGAACAGAACACTGATAAAGTGAACTGCTCTCTGGGGAAAACTATACTTGTCCAAGAACAATACTGGAGATCCAACAGAGTCAGGCTCTTTTGATGTTCTGCATGTCATCCTTCTTTTCTCTACTTTTATTTTTCTACTTGTAGCCCTGAGTATTAAAAAAAAAAAAAAAAAAAAAAACCTCATATGTAGGCCAGCAGCAGGTGGTATAGTGGAGAAAGGAGAACAGAAGAGAAGGGATTGTGGCATGACCTTCCCACCGGGGAGGTGATTTCTCACTTTCCCTCTCACTGTCTCTCTCCTATGAGTGTATAAACTGTATGGTAAAAACCTTAAAATAAAATTAAGTAAAATTTAAAAGTTCCTATCCTTCAAGGAAAATAACTAATTGTTCCAAGAAAATTTTTAACAGTAATTACCAGAATCAGTTGCACATTTGTCCCAGTTGACCAATGACTGTTTACTTCACTGAACACATTTCTGAAAGCCAGACAGCCAATAATAACCACTCTCCAAAAAGCCTGTATCAATGGTTAAATGCTGGCCCACTCATAAACGCTCTTTTTTTTAGAGCTTTTTGCCATAGGGCGCGTGTGCTCGCCAGACAGAGAGAGACAGAGAGACAGAAAGCGAGAAATCACCCCCCAGGGGGGTTGGCCATGCCGCAATCCCTTCTCCTCCATTCTCCTCTCGGGATCTTGGGCACACATGCACACGCACCTGGCGTGAGTTTTTTTTTTTTTTT